GGGGGGGGGGGCTTCTCCTGCTGTTTGATTTCAAGAAAACTGGCATTGAAGCCCAACCGATGCTTTTCGATACTAATGGAGACAAATCCATCTGAACGAACCTGCTGAGATGGTTTCTCTTCACTCGAGTGTTTGCAACGAAAGCGGAAAGCCCATTGCCAAAAAGTAATGCTGTGTGTGCAATTTGTGGTGGGATCAAAAGGTCGTTGAGTACTATGAGCTGCTGAGCCCGAACGAAACTATTACTGCTGACCGCTACGAACACCAACTTGGCAGTTTGTAGGATGCTCTCACCTAAAAGCGGTCGTTGACCGCAAGAAAATATAATGAGGTGCTGTTCCACCACGAACATGCCAGTCCCCATGTTGCGAAGAATGTCCTTAAAAAATTGCAGTTGTTGGATGGGATCAGCTTGTTCAGCCCGCATACTCTCCTGAACTTGCTCTTTCTGATTACCACATATTCCGGTCCACGCAAGTCAGTTTCGCAGATAGACGCTTGCGGAATGCCGAAGAAGTGCGAAAATGGGTGGATAACAGGATTGCCTCAAAAGATGAAGACTTTTTTAGACCCGAAGTCAACAAGATACCGGAAAGATAGCAAGAAGTTGTAGCTAACGATAGGCAATACATTGGCTAATGTACATTTGGTTTTAATTTTGTAATAAATATGTTTTTGCACGCAAATTAATGCATTGGTGCGCTGAGCTGCAATAATACAAAATTTGCTGGGCAACATGATCAGTTCCTTCAAGTCGGTCGCAGACATACTTATACCACTACTTAAATCAATTTGTTTTCTCTTTCAAAAAGGACCTTACTCGGAACTTCTCCCCGAATTCCCACGACCAGCGACAGTGGTTTCGCGGCGACTGCTATCCTTCCACTGGGAATTCAAATCTTTCCATTCATACGTCTCGATCGATGCGAAGTTCGGGGAGAAACCAGTCCCACCTTCAAGATACTCTAGGGTTTTCGTCGTCGTAACATTTGGCCTTGATAAGAACCTAACACTCTTGCATTCCTCCTTACATATAAAGCCACTAATTTGCCGTTTTGATTGTGTCAGTCCACAAATAGTCACGTAGGCGCGATGAGGAGAGTGAAGTGTGACTTGGGCGCGGTGAAGAAGGATGAAATAGGTACCCATTTGTATTTTTACTTTGACCTTCTTACTAGCACGTCCTCTTTCGACGCTACTGGCTGCCTTCAGACTGCTACGACGGAATCGACGAGCGCGCGTGCGACGGCGGCGCTAGCGACTTGTTGACGACACTGGCGCGTGATCCGTCGGCGCTCACTGTTGTCAGCACACAGCCAGCAATGCCATCGGTCGGAATCGAGCTCGTCGATTCCCTCGTTGAAGTCGAAAGCACGCATTGACTAGGATCATTCTTTCCCCTTTTTTGTTGCAGAATGGCCTTCATAGGGTTCATCTCAATCACACAGTGATCCAACCTTCACAGAAGAGGGCGGTACGGTGAGAAGCTTCTACGTTGGCGTCAGGCACCACCAAACACACTAATGACTATTTCCACGTTCAGTCTTCTTGAAAACTGGGCATCTTACATAATGTTCTATGCTGCTCTGCCGAACGGGTTCGTTATGGCTCAACCTCTTTACTGGTCAACGTTTCGAGTGAATCGTCGCCCTCGGAACCTGAAAGTAGTTCGAAGCCCCTGATCTGTGAATTGCCAGACCAGGCGCCCAAACGCGCTAATTGCGACGCCAGCGAAATGAATAACGTCCTGTGACTTCACCAGCGTTAAGTCCCATTCGGGTATGTGAACAACAAGGAACGAATGAGATACCATTGACGGTCGCGAGATAAGATTTCAAAGCCCACAAAAGGAAATGAACGGCAAAAGTTCGTTTGTTTGGCAAAGCACCCTTTTAAGTTGTTCAGCCTCGAATTTTTTCACTCTGAATCTTTGTCTCGTTTCAATATTTTCCAATGCACTATACCGACATGCGTTTTGTATTGGCCACGCCCGCCTTGCCAATTGGGTGTATGTCGTTTGGCGCGACGGGCGGGGTCGCGCCGCCCATTTGAGGGGGCGCGACTCCGCCCATCGCCCCTTCAACTCATTCAGATCGCGTAATCTTCNGGCGCGACCCCGCCCATCGCGCCAAACGACCGGCTCCCTCTGAACGCAGCCTACGACACTCGCTATTGGCCGGTTGGTTGATTTCCGAAAGCCTTTCTGGTAGAAGAGCCAACACCCGTAAACCGGCACTTGATAAACCATATAGAGGAGAATAAACAACGGCACCCAATTACAATAATGGTCCATTGGTTGCATTATAAACACCAATACGATTCTGGTCGAATATATTCGGCAGGTCAAAACAAATCAACTACATTTACTACAATAGCATTTATTTTTATCATTAATTATCGTGCGCAGGAGTGCACCATTGACCATCTGCTCCTAATGCGTACGCCCACAACCGTGTATATGCGGCACCGAATATGTGTACCTAACAATATCACAAAAACACAAAAGGCACATAGAGAAAATAGCTGAAGCACTAGCGCTTCCTTACAATTCACATGAACATCAAATGAAAAATAATACTGGAATTTCAAGCAATCTGAACAAGCTGCTCATGAAGGTTGCCAAAACCACAAAGAAGCGTTTGTTAACCAAAAATGTGTAGACGAGATGGTGCTAAGTGGGTTGGGCCACGGGGCGGCGCGGCGCCATTTCATGTCTGCACCCTCCCCGGCGAGATAGTAGTAGTGCG